TTAAATACAGTAAATGTGTAATGAATGTGCTTTAATAACCAACGAGTTATTTACTTTTGTGTTTTGTTGTTGTGTTTTGTTGATCATTGTCTGTTTGTCAGCGAAACGTCCTTAATTTGTTTATTACTGTAAAGTCGAATTTCATTACAATCCGGCGTTTTTTTCCCCTGGCGGTACTCAGAAACCGGCATTTTCTCTAAGCATATTTTTTTTTTCTCAGTACCACAGTAACAGACACTTTGTGGTGAGTTTCCCGTGTGGGTTCCGGGGCCCTGCTGTGCAAAAGTAAGAACATAACCACTGCTTCCACAGAAAGCATGTAGTAGTAGTAATAGTAGCAGTCGACTAATTGGGAGCTTTCCTTCGCAGTCGGAGTGCATCTGCTGGAGTGCAAGGAACACAAATAAGTAAGTAAGTCCAAACTGACAAATAGCCAGCACTTTCCGCCGGTGAACAGAGAAGAAGCGGGGCGTAGCAAATTTTTTTTTTAATGATAAGAAAAACCCTAAACACAGGCATTAAAAAAAAAAAAATGCAAAGTAAGTTTTTTCCTCCCAGGAATTAGGCAAGCCTCGGTAGCGCAGTAGGTAGCTCGTCAGTCTCATAATCAAAGTAACAGGAGCAATCTGAAGGTCGTGAGTTCGATCCTCACCTGGGGCATACTTTTTGTGTGTGGGTTTTTTTTTTTGAGTGTGGAAAAAAGTAATAAATTTTCGAGTCAACTTGTCTATCGAATTACTTTTTTTTTTTTTTTTTAATAAAAGCTAGCATTGTTGTAAAACGTGTTCTGGTTTTTGGGTGGGGGGGGGGGGGGGGGGGGGGGGGGGGGGGTGTAAGGAAGAGATATACCAACTGCTTCTGATTATGTCTTCCATGTGTGAATGCTGATCCAGGACATTCTCCAGCTACTTACTTAGAAGATGAGAATATAGAGATGATTCCACTGGCACCTTTCCGTCTTTCCAGACGATAGTGTTACATTGCGCTATGAGGAGGCATGAGACTCACAGCCCATGGCGATGGCGAGTGTAACTAGCAATGATAACACAATGATAGCATGGGATTTCAGGACCATTGTTGTCAACATTTGTGTTTAATCCTTTTCTTTTCACACGCTCAGCACTCATTCTTTCTGCAATCATTTCTTCCTTCAGTCTCATTCCCTTCCTGAAATGCCCTTTCCGCACAACACGGTCCATGGCATTTTGTTTCCATGAGTCCGCCTCAGAACCTGTATCATTCATGTCCCGCTTGCAAACATCTTTTTAACGTAGTAGAGGTCAGCCTCGACATCTTCTTCCTGTCTTTAATTCACCATAAAGGATGTCCTTAGGGACTCTGCCATCCTCCAATCTCCAGGTATGATCCAGCCACCTGAGCCTTCGTAGACTGAGCATGGAAAATACTGTTGTAGTACCTGCTCTTTCCAGTACTTCAGTGTTTGTGATTTTGTCCTGCCAATTAATGCCAAATATTCTTCTTAGGCATCGCATGTGAAAGCTATTAAGCCGTCTCTCCTGGTGCAAATCAAGTATCGCTGCCAGAAAGCAGAGTGCCTAGAACACAAGCGTGATAGACAAGGGTTTTTGTTTTAACTGTGGGCTTTCTGTTCTCCCAAACTCTCTTTGTCAATCTGCTCATTGTTGTTGCTGCTGTACCTATCCTGATGTTGATTTCTTGGTCAAGCGATAGTTAACTATTCACTGTAGAACTAGATAGGTAAACGGGTCTACTGTCTCAAACTCTTCACCGTCAATGTAGACGTAGAGATTATATAACCATATCAACTGCATAAGCCATACAAAATATTAATATTAAAATGTTTTTCTCGTGTTAATTTCAAGTTTGTATATGTGTGTGTATATATATATATTATGTATATGTGTGTGTATGATATATATATATATATATATCTATACTATAATATATATATATATATATATATATATATATATATATATATATATATATATATATATATATATATATATGCTTTCTATTCTCGAGTTTATTCTTAGTTTTTTTTGTGGGGAGTACTCAGGGGTCGACCGGAAACAAACACCCCGGGACTGTTATAGTGAAAACACGGAACGTATCGTTAGCCCTGGGTAGTGACGGCACGTCAAGCTGATGACGTCAGCACCATGAACCCTCAGCTGGAGAAAGCCTTGGCTGATCTATCAGTGTCCTTATGAACATGAAGGGCACGCGGCCTCTAGAGTTCTGTTTTGTTGTTTTTCTTTATGTCTTATATCAGCTTGTTGGCCCTCTCCGTCCTTATGAGCGTAGCTGCCAGCCCGTCTTTCATCTCCTGGATCCGCATGACGGAACGCTTTCCCAGCAGGGTTTTTATAAACTTGACAGAGAGCTATCATATTTACCCGCCCCTCGCTGGTTTGAAGAACCCTGACTGTGATTGGAAAAGCGCTGTCATCAATTTGCTGCTCGTCGACCGTGGTTTCTTGTTGTGTACCTCTGTCATGACCGTTTTCAATATTCT